GGACCTGGTTTTAATGCAGCCGGATCCAGAACAGAACTGGACCTGGTTTGAATGCAGCCAGATCCAGAACAGAACCGGACCTGGTTGTAATGCAGCCAGATCCAGAACAGAACTGGACCTGGTTTTAATGCAGCCAGATCCAGAACAGAACCAGACCTGGTTTTAATGCAGGGGCCCCTGAGGGCCCAAAGATCACGACCCTCCAGTGTTGACCTTCAGCCTCATCCTTTGAGCTCAGATTTCCACAGATTCTTCTAATCTGTTCAGATTAAGATTTGGATCTGATGAAATATTTTTCTGGAACTGTTGCGTTATTTTTGGAAGCAGTTCTTCTCAGAGCGTGAACCCGTGCTCGTCTTTACTTCGTTCAGCCTTTTGTTGCTCCTGGACCAACGTTTTACAGATGCTGCTTGAAATTCTAAATTAGTTTTTCCTCTTACAACTGTCAGAATCTTTAGCTTCAGACGTTAAAACGTTTACCGTGCTCTGTTCTGAATTAAATGTTTTATTAGATGTGCAAATCATTACATTTGGTTTTTATCTTCATCTTAAACAACGACCCAAGTTTTCCAGAACTGAAGTCACGTTTTGAGGATTTGAACGAAAGTTGATGTTAGTTAATGGATCAATGTTGATTTTAATTTTTATAAACTACAGGTTTTTTTAATTTATATATATTTTCAACATCCTGACGTTTGCTCAAACCAAAGCGTGCGCAGCGAACAGACTCTGCACGGCTAACAAAGAGGATTTACCTGCAGACCGTCCTGGGATTGTTCTTGTTTTCTTACATTTACCTTCTTTGATTTACTACCACCCCATACACACCCGTCTTCATGTCATCCTCCAGACGTCACTCTCGGATACCAAAGCATCGCCTCTGGCAGCGTTCGTCTCTGGATACGCCCGGGAGACGAGTGTCCAGACAAACCTCAGCCGTGTCAAAGGAGAAACAAACACAAATACAAGCAAAAGAAAGACCAAAAAGAACAAAAGGAGGAGGTGAAACTCCGGCGTTCCCCTTACTGCCCCCCACCACCCAAAAACAAACCCTGCCCTCCATCCCATCTGCCCTTCTCCTTTGTCTCCAAAGATCCGATCAAAGGACCAAAAAACAAAAAGAAGAGGAGCGGTCAGGAGCAGAGGAGCCAAAGGTTGGAGGAGCTGCGGGGGAAAGTAGGACGAGGACCAAAAACAAAAGTTACCCAAAACCCAAAGCTACTTCTACTTCTGTATGAGTGAAACCAAATAAAAACACTGAGGGGGAGGCCGGGGGAGGGGGCTCAGCTCCTGTCTGTTCGTCTTTAACTGTGATTGCTGTTCTCGTTTCAACAGACAGACCCCCCCCCCACACACACACAGAGCCGACAGCCCCGGCTTTATTCTCACTCCTCTCCTGAACGGATGAAATAAGGAAAAACCTCAAACTGACTTTATGAAAATTTCTATTTTTGTTTTCGCTTTCCATCGTGCGTCTGTTCGGGTCCGTCTCACGACTTTTTACTTCTGGTACGAGGCGAAGGAGGAACCGAGGCTGGGCTTCAGGGGAGGGGGGCGGCGACACGTCTTACGTTTTTATCTCTTTTTGTTTTGACTTTTGTTTTGCTCTTGGAAATAACTGTGAAAATGTAGCTTCCAAGATTTAAAAAAAAAACTTTTCAGTCCTCTCAGAATGTTAAAAAGCCAAAACTGCAAACCAAAACTTTTTAGATACACAACCAAACCAAATGGAACGACCAAACCATTGCACAAGTCGTGTGAATGCTTTACCGTGCGCGTGTGTACGTGTGCATGTGTGTGTGAACAAACCAAACCATGGAACAAACCATTTTCAACCTTGGACCTGTTCTCTGTTTTCAAATAAATTACCTGTGAAGGTTTTATTTTCAAGTCGGGAACATGCCCCATTCGTTTACGTGGAGGGGCGGGGCTTAGAAATGACACCGCAGCCGGCCACTAGGTGGCGCTCGCCCTTCGTCGCTTCAACTTCCAGCTTCCAGTCCTGTCTTTAATTCTCTGTCGATTATGCTAAAACTATTTGTAAAATTTTATTCGGCTGTTATTTTTACTTTACCTTAATAAAGTTAAATGGTTATTTTAAACGCAAATGTCGACAGCAGCAGTTAGCTATAGCACTCGCAGTGCAGCCTGGATCACTTCCTGCAGGAATATTAAAATGTTAACGTGGAACTGACAGCAATGCAAAGGTTTATAAAAGGTGTTTAGATTATTATTTTGAGACTGATAAACAAACCAATCAGCTGTAGTCTTCACTTTGCTCAGACTAGCCGTTAGCTCGTCAGTCCGGTCAGAGCTAAACTTTAGCTCTTTAAACTGCGGCTATTCTTAAAGCTGGTTATCATTGCAGCCGCGCTTTGCATAGAACCACGCAAAGAAAATATTTGGACAACTTTAACTTTGTGATTTTATTCAAAAATTCATTTTTTGTTCTAAACATTTTTCCCTTTTATTTTGAAAATGAGTAAATCAGAAGTCTAATTATGTCAAATCGCTCTGCAGTTTTTCAGTTATTGATCTTTTTCTTCTTCTTTTTTTTTTTTTTAACTGATCAATACGTTGAAAAACATGAAAACAAGCCCTGGGTTGAAAACGGCAAAGAGCTTTATTTTGAAAGGGCGTAGACACGATGAAGATGACCATAAATTTAAAGAAGGCGTCGGTTTTAAGGGTTTTCACTTTGTTACTGTTATTTTTTTAAAGCTGAAACTTTTATTTTAAACCGAGGAACCAAAAGCTTTAAAATTTTCTGACTTTGGGCTTTTTGTTGAGAAAAACAAACAAACGTTGTATTTATTGTACGAGGACGATGATGTGTGCGTTTTTTAATGGTGGATGGGAAAATAGTCTGTATTTATGAATCTCTCCTGCCCTAACTTTATTTATTGATTATTTATGTATTTATTGGATTCTATTTAAGTCTTTCTTGATCTCTTTGCTAGTTTTCAGGGGTTGTTGTGAAGGTCGTTCCCGCAGAGCGGTCGCTCAGACCGAGACGAGAAGCCGAACGAATGTTTCAAACCAAACGCAGCGACTGTTTTTAAACGGAGAGCCAAGAGTGAAACGGAGACGAGGAACACGTTTACGTCCATGAACGAGTTTTTCTTTAGATCTAAACATCGTCTGAAGGGTTGGAGGTTCAGCTAGTTCAGTTTTGGTCTCTAAACTTAAAAAAAGCTTAATGTTTCCAAATAAGAGGCTTTCCTCGTATTTGAATCTTTTTGTTTCTGAACTCTGTAAAAACTCTTTGCCAAATTAAAACGTCGAGCTGAAGCGAGCGTCTTTAAAATATTTGTTCTTTTTCAGGGATTTACATTTAATCTTTCAGTTTGTGTTTGCAGTTCACACATCGTGAGCTTTATAAACCTTCGTGTTCTGGCTTCAGTTACTTTTTAACGTGTTTTTAAACCTCAAAC